GCATCTTTCTTTCCACTTCATTGTATATTGTGTTTTTCGTTCCTTTTTATTGTTTTAGGTTTGATATTTTGTTCTAAGTTTCTAACTATCTGTAAAGATTTTTTTTTTGTTGTTGTTTATTTTTATTATTTTTCGTTTGTTCGTTACTTTTGTCAATAGCATAATAGCTTGATTCTCAAATCTAATATTTTTGTTATGGGTTTTGTTTTTATAGATATTTTCTAAACCTATAAAAACGATCAAGATCACGTAGTCTTTAGAGATCAACCTTGATTTCGTTTATGAGCAACAACTTCGTTTTGTTCAGCTTACACATGCATCATAACCTCCTCCACCTTTCTAATGTTTCTAACGATTTTTAAAGATTTTTGAGAAATAACATGTAAATCAACAAAGAAAATATAACTCCCATCAAGGCAGTATTGAGCGTTTTTGTAGTTCGATTACCGGACCAAGAGGTATTATCGAGTTTTGCGATGATGATGAAGACAGTATTTATCAAACTATATCTTTTGATCTAAGAAAACATAATTACTGATTTTAATTCTTTTTTTAATCATGATTTCTATATTATTTTTCATATTTATTATTTATTTTTGTGTTTTCAAATGATATTAGGAATGAGATTATGAAGGTTAATCATATGCCTAAGAAGTTCTATGATTCTTGGTGGAAATGTCGTACCAAGTTTGTCGTATGTATCGTTCGGTGGGGATTAGTTAGTGTTCGTGCATGTATATTATTATTTTTAGATTTGATATGTTTTCTGAAAAACTTATTTATATATTTGTTCTGATTTAGGACTACGGTATATTTACGCAACAAATCCAACACATATTGTTTTGAACCCAGAACTTCAAGAAGTTGGTGATTTTATGCGTATGTAAGTGTTTTTCGTTTCTTAATTACATATTTATACATACACTGTTGGTTTTTTGTTTGTGACTTTGTTATTTATATATGATTGTAGGCTTCCTCCTAAGAAGCTTCTTGAACCGATCAATTGATGACTAGTACGTTTTATTATTTATTCTCTTGATCCTTTGTTTTTTTTAGTATGGTGTTTATTTTAGTATGGTATTTTGCACAATCAATATTTTTCTTTCATTTTATTCATACTATTACAATGGCTTATAAGAAATCGTTTTCAGTATCTTATTTCTTTCTTAATTATTTTGGTCTGATTTGATATGTTAATCATATTATTATGATATTATGTATGTGTTGTTTCTTCTCTACCATCAACAGATCTTATGTCTAGACAAACAATTGAGAATCAGATTTCATAGGTTTGGAAACGTACAAAATTCTTTATACATGTGTGTTTATGTTTTCTATTATTCTTGACTTTAATGTTAGCTAAATGCAATTGATTTCAAGTTTCTTTTTAGTTAAAAAAGATTAGACTCAAGACTAGCCAGTCTCTAGATGCAGATTTCCGATGCAAGGTACAATTCTCAAACAATCCTTCTCTTTTTGATTGCTAGATGAGAAAATGCTGGTTTAATATGTTGGTTTATAGATTGATTTCCAAGCATAAAGATTTGCAGCAGCGATTGAGAATATAGGAGACATAGTCGCGAGAAGAATGTGGATCAAAGATCCATATATAACTCCATTTAAAGATAGAGAAAGATGCATGGGTAATAACGAAAAAACGCACATAAAGAGTTTACCTTTGTTTATATCGGTGGGGTTATTTACAACAATGTCACCTTGAGTCTCGACTTCTCACACCTACCACACAAGAATTACCTTTTTATTAGTCTCCACCTCTTCTT